TACTTTTATTTAATTTTTCTATCACTTTATTTCAGTGTTCCTATTATCTCTCTTTCATATTTTTTATGCGAAGTTCGAGATGAAATGATACCAGTTGATCCAAGAATTGAGCGTACTTTTCACTGTAGACAAAAAGAAGCAAGAGATGTAAAAATAGCAACGAGAAATGACCAATGAACTGAACAATCCGATGATTCAAGTGAATGAAGCGGTAGTTGCCGATGAAGAGGATATTGCCAATCGGGGATTTAATGACTCCATAAATCATTCAGAGCAAATCTATCGTTGTATATCCTCCATTTGGACAGCAAAACTTTCAGTCAAAGACTCATCCATTTATTTCAAAATGAATATGAACAAAAGTTATATTTTTCTTCGATTTATTAGTCTTTGATTTCTGTTTCTTCTTTTTTCCTTCATTTTCTTTGATTTATTATTTTACGAAGGTCGATTTGAGAGACTCGGTAATTGAATATAAAAATGTATCTCAATGATTACTAAAATATGTCAAGTGCTATTTATTAATACCCGAACTTAAAAATGTATCTCAACTATCACTGAACTTTGCTAAATGCCACTATTTAATAACTGAACAATTGAGTGATGAATAGGTAATACGGTGCATAGTTCATTAATCATTGAGATATATTTTTAACTTCAATTATTAAATAATAGCACTCGTCGTAATTCAGTGACCATTGAGATACATTTTTAAGTTTAGTAACACTTGACAAAGCTAGTAACATTCAAATAATTAACCCATTCTAAAATAGGCAGCATCAATTTCAACAAGATAATCAGGCGGAATATACAAGTAATAAACAAGATAACATTGCATCACTAATCAAAACAAAACACGCACTGTAGTGTCATGTGTTGCATTAACATTAACCACAATATGGACGGAATTAATGAGGCCATCCAATTGCTCGCGCAGGGTGAAATTTAGTTATTTTACTATTAAAACAAACAGGGCTACACATCGGCAGATTTGATCTTATATTTGCAGATCCTTGACAAATTACAGTCAGGATTCATCACTTTCTGTGTTTAACAGAACAGAAGGAGCAGAAGGGTCAACATAACTTACAGAAATTAAATTCTTTCAACCTCATATATGTGTCCAGGAGAAGGCAACTGAACTCTTCACAAGATGTTTGGTATTCTTCCAAGAAATGGAACCAAATGCATTCCTGCCTGACAGATTCACGCCCTTCTTTGACACGAAAGTAACTGTATATCGTTGCTTATCGCCTACATTCCCGAAAACGAGCCTTGGGGGTTTCACGGTTACCACCACATTCTGGGGAGCTTCAACCATAACTTGATAAATAGACCTTGCAGCTCCTACATTTGTCAATTCACGGGAGTACCTTGCAGCTCTAGACTTGCCAGACAAGACTGAGAAAGACGGATAGTTAAGCTGGCTGGGATTAGTAAATTTCCCAGAACGGTGATGTTTGGACGCTTCACAATGGTTTGTATATGCTCAATGGTATAGTCCAAAGAGCAAAGGAACATAATGTACTCTTCCAGCGTGATGTCGTATACGAGTCCTGGGGAGAGGGCCTTGTGTGGGTCGACATGGCCAGATCCATGAGCCCATGGGTTGGCAAATGAGTTGTCTGCAGCATCACGCAGAGGAGAACTAGTGTTATCTAGAGTGTAGGCCGTCGTCATCAGTGCAGATTTAATGGCGCTTGGACTCCAATCAGGATGTGCTGCTTTCAGCAACGCAACTAAGCCACTAATGTGCGGGCAGGACATTGATGTACCTGCAAATGTCATCAGATGATACGAGGAAGTTAAGCATGGATGTCATCAGAAAGCAAAGTTTCAAGAGTGGTAAAAATCAGCATATTAGGGGTTATGTACATCTTTATACTTCGTCTACAAAATCCACACAATTCTGTTACGCTGTTAAGTGTCTTCTTTCCAGCTCATTCTGCTCTATGATTGAGGTACTTTTAGGTAGGTCTAGTCCACTAATTGAGGGTAAGATAATTAATCAGTTGATTAACAATATTAGCTAGGACCAGTCTACATTCTTAAAGCATGATGTGAAGGCACTTAGAGTGGTGTTTTTGTCGTGGGAGAATGAGAATTATTTCTAGATACACCACAACCATAACCACTTTTTGATCATCTTAAATGAATCTGTAAGGACAAAGCAAAATTGGTTATGAACCAGTCGAATTTCTGGAAGCATTCATAAAAGGCCCTCCACTAGCAATATGTAGCCAAAATAATTGACAGATTTGACAGAGCGTACATAGAAGCTCCATAAACTATTTATAAAAGTCCGGCAAAAGTTGTCTCATATAAACAACCTTATCATCTTTTCGAAAAGCAAACAAAAAAAGTGTTTTCTTCTAAAAGTATCTGCAGGCAAAATAATTGAAAAGAGACGTGACTGAATTTAATCGAAACATTACATAACATGATTTCACTTATCAAATTCTTCGTAACTTTACATTACCAAAGTAATCAAAATAAAGAAATACAGAAGGTATTTTTATATGTTTGTCCTTGCAGATATATCAATATCTTATCATCCTCAAAAACTTGTGATTTTCTGTGTTATAACTTATAATTGTTGGCTATAACATCTGAGAATTAGCTAATTTACGTCTTAATCCAAGCCTCAGTTTCCATCAAATGATGTATTGTACTCCAGTTCTATTTGTATCACAACAAGAACTAACAGAAACAAAAGAAGGAAGAAAGTGTTTATTTCTATGCAACCACTATCCATTTACTTATCGTTACGACGTGGCCAACTTTCCCGACCGGTCTCATACATATGATCATAGTCTAAAGTTTCTTCTTGAAATTGTCAATATAATTTAGTATGATTATTCCACTTGTCTTTCAGATTCTTACAATTGTATAAAATCTTAGGATTCCAATTCCACATTAAACTTTAACTATTTATTGAAGGGCTGACACAAAGATTTACAAAACAACTACTGAAGAATAAAAGGTAATTCTTTACCAGACATAATGTTGAACTTTGTCTTCCTAGTATCCTGCTCGAGGCCAGTAGGACCAACAGCCTCAGTCCAAGCTGCCAAGATATTAACTCCAGGTCCAATAACATCAGGCTTCAGTATCTG